ATTACATCGGTGACAGCTATGTAGGACAACATTTCCCCATGTAAAACTGGTTTAAATGCTTAGCAGTGACTAGATATTGAATGTAGCCTGCATACAGTATGTTAGCTCCTGCATCATGAGGCTTAATGTGGACACCTCTGTCTGCATTCTCTGCCCCTTTACTTTACCCACATTATGTCATCTTTGCCTGCTGAGGATAAAAGATTGCTTCGGATGGGAGACGTGGGCAACATGTCACCATTTATGTGTATGTGCAAGGCAGATGTAGTTGTTGCTTTTCAGGGACTTTACTTCCATACAGCTGCATCAAATCCCTGCATCAAGCCCTTCAGTTTTAAGAATTCAAAGCATGTTTAACCTTTTTTTTGGTTTGTTTCTTAACAGGGTGCAATTGGCTTTCATAGTGCTGCCCTTTCAGTCAAGAGTTGGTGCCAATTTATTCTCAGTAGACATAAAAGGTCAATTTATGCTGTTGTTCAGGAAGTATTTTTTTCTATTTTTCTTAACAGCTGCAACATCATTCTACTTTCAATTAGGGAACAAATTGGAAAACATTGTAATATGTTGCAGTGGTCACTCAGTGTTGAGAAATAATACTTAAGCGCTGTAGATTTCATCACAAGCACAGCATTGTTTTCAGTGTGACAAAGTTTGGACCAGACTAAAATTTTAATTGCCCTCAATTTTTTTTTCTTTCATGGTCCCCTGACTTTTCATCTAAGTCAGAGTTTTAATTTTTTATAGTTTTCAACATTTTACAATGTAGACTGACATAAACATTTGTACAGACATTCATGTTCCCAACAGGATGAAATGGAATATTTTTGGTGAAACCTTACCTTTTCATCTAGTTTGTATCATCAGTTCAGAAGTTGGATTTGTCCAATACTTTGTTTTATGACCAAATACCTGCAGAACTATTGCCATTCTAGAGTCTGCAGTACTTGTGTGTGGTGCTAATTAGCAAATGCTAGCATATCAACACATTTTAAACTAATGTGATGGAAATGCTAAATATTACACCCGCTAAACATTAGCATGTTAGCATTGTCATTGTGAGCATATTAGCATGTTGATGTTAGGGACAGCAGTGCTTTGAGCTAAATGCTAAGTACAGCCTCACAGAGCTGCTAGTGTTGCTGTAGACTCTTAGTCAGGTTGAGTATATATGATATATATGGTTTTGGCTGAGGTTGATCAACGCAAACTTTGTAATCCCCTTATGCACTCAGGGATAACTACCTGTCAAAAAGAAGCCAACTCTGACATCCATTAAATAGAACTTTATTCTTTGTCAAAGTCAAGACCAAACAACAGATGTATCGATTATCGCAAGGCTAGCAATCTGGATGGTGTTATGCATATTTACACATCTTAACATTTGTTTACATACTGCCAGGTTGATATCTTTGCAGTATACATTTGGGATCCATAGCCTATAAACCAACTATACTGATACGTACACCTGTTTGTACATCTGGTACCTGTTTTCCACGATAACAGAAGTCGGCAGCGGCTCCAGGCACATTCAAATGTTATAACAAAAGTAAAACAAAAGCCATGTCCTTTTAATCTTTCCTCGCCAGCTAAGCCCAACTGGTAATCTAATACTTCTATGAGCACATCGGGGCCCGCAGCAGTAGTGTGTATCAGTAGCTGTAGTGAATCTACAATAACAAAGATCAGGGTTTTTTGCAAGTTTGTGGGTGAATCAAAGCCAGCTTTTTTTGCTGAAAGACATCAATACCAGCAATACAATCCAGCTAATCCAGATGAGGGTCAGCAGTCAATTAAGCTTGAAATGCAGCAGCTAAAACAAATAGACAGATAGTGTGCATTTGCGCGCGTGTGTGTTGGTGTTATCTTCAGCGCCACCCCCTGTTGTGAGCTGTCAGACAGTTTCTCATTACATCAACATCCTCTTTGCTGCCAGACTGGCATAGAAGACTTGATATGTGTGTGTCTTTGCTACATGTAGTTAGACCGTTAGTGTCAGTAAATGAACGGCATGCATGCTTTCACATGTGCATCGGCCATACTATAAGTCATGTATAATTAGGTATGCAACATTTCCTCCTATCTATCCATTTAACACACAATCATTAATGCATGTGTAGTCAGCGTCCATATGGCTGTGTTGTGCTTGTGTGAACGAAGCCATTTGTAAATCCTTTACTTGACATCTCTTGGGAGTTCACACAGAAAACTTGCATGTTTTCTATTCATGGATCTGTGTAGCGTCAGATGAATCTTTTGTAAGCACAGTTGATTCCACATGTTGTGTAAAATAGGAAATGTATATGTAACCCAAAAGTGTACACACTTTGGGGGATTTCTTCATTAAAAGTAACAAGTGCACATACACTCTATTCTCGTCACTCTCTCATGTCTCTCTGACGCACACACAGAAACACACTCACCATGTTGCTACCTGTCAAGCTGTCTCTAGGCTTCTCTGCTGTGACTTGTTTTTTTCCGATCTTCCGTCTTTGAAGTGTGTGCAGATGATGATCATCTGGGAATTGTACTCACATCTCATTACTGACATTATGGATTGAGTGTCGCTGTGCGTGTTTGTGAGTGTGTGTGTGTGCTTTCCTTCATGTTCAGATATACATTTGAGAATTAATGTTGATACCTTCTTGTCATTTTAGTCCACACTGATGATGTTTGAGTGGCCTGTCATAGCAGGAGCATATGAAGTCTTGAGTGATGTACTGTACAGTGCCATCGTTAACATGTTGTCATTGTTGGGTGGTCCGTGTATGTTTTTACCGCTAGTCTGCTTAATTTGATTGACAGCAGAAGAATTCACAATATGACTGCTGTTTTTTCGTTGTTGTTGACATTTTTAGTCAAGTTATTTGTTCATTCAGTCTATGCTCACACACATTACTTGATTTCTGATGAGTAGATGTGTGCGAGTAGCATTAAAACAAGACTTCTGGTTGTACTTGTGATCTTCAGAATAAAAGCACAAACAGTGCAAAAGTTAAAAATAGATTTTTAGTGGTTTGAAGTTCATTGTTACATCAAAAAGAGTGTTCATTGTTACATTAGAGAAAAAGTGTTTAGTGAAATGAGGAGGGACATATGTGCACAGCATACAACATAGAGCACGAGGTGCTGGTAAATGTTTGCAAGGAAAGATCCTCAGTTTGATGCTTTAATGTCTCAAGTGTGTGGTTTGTGGCAGATTTGATGCGATGATGATGATGATGATGATGAAAAAGAACATAATATGTGATATTTTTACTTGTGGCGTCTCCCCATATTACAGGTACATGTAGTATGTACTATATCTCAGTCAGGGAAGTAGACCAGGAGTTTTTATTATATTTAGGTTATACGTAGAGGGAGGGTATCTTGGAAATTCTTTTTTGGTTGATTCTAAACTATCTGTCTGTTATTCCTCCAGAGGCAGGCTAAAAATCCAAACTGTTCCATAGGATACCATAAATACAACAAGCAACAAGCCAGCTTATCATTTCTCATGAAGTCAAACTGTCACCAAAGCCTTCCCTTGAGACGTAAACGATGCTCAGATATACAATATTGCCAGTCAAAGCCCATATATTTTCAGTGTATTGAGTGATATGAAGATTGCAAATCTTATGTAAATCCTGATATGGTGAAGCCCTTGTATGGGAAACACTTTATTACATTTTCTCTCCATCCGCTGTTGAGGGTGCTCATTGCTATTAGCTTGAGAGGAGGTAATTACGTTCTCCAGTACAGCATTAGCGGTGAAAGAACAGTCTACAGCGTGCTGTCTGCAATATGATTACATTTCATCTTTTGTGCTCTACAAATCTTTATACGGGAAAGAACAAAATGAACAAATATAATGTGTCTTCTGTGTATGAAAACAGCAACAAAATACTTTTGTTGTTCTCAGCTGCAAAATTTCCAGTCCAACATAAATGAGCTTCATAATTACTGCCAACCGTTTGATGACACAAGAAGGAGCTACATGTCAACATGTGCCTCCTCTGACAAACACCAGTCACCGAAAGCGTTTTCAATACCCTAAAGCAAAGACTTTCTCAAATATTCAACGATAAATGTTAAATAAACAAACAAGGTGTTATTTGTGAAGAGAAATACAAGAATTCTTAATATGAAATACTCCAAACTGTTACAATAGTGTGTTTGTGTAGGATTTCATTACTCATTGTGAACAGTAGATTTTCTTGCTACTTATTAACACATCAGTCGTGAACTTTGAAGAACATCTCTGTATTTGCTTTTACGACTCCAGTAATGTCTTCACATATCTCTGGTGGCTAGAATAGAAGTATATCCGGGGTTAAACATGAGGGTAATTAATTCAGTTAGAATCAGTTAGAACTGATCGACCTCTGCACTCAACCCTCTATTGAGGGCGTTTAGAGGGAAATGGAGGGGGGTAAAGGGGTAAGGGGAAGAGGAAGATGTAGGGTAATAAAGTGTACAAGGTTGTATTGTATGAGATTCTGGGCACTCTCTTCCCCACTAACTTGTTGTGTGTCAAAGCAATTGACCATTTAGTGCTGAATAATCCCCATCCACCATTTAAGGCCGCACTAGTCTTTGTTAACTGTTAGCTGATGCAACCCTTTTCATTTGTCCTCAAGGCCTCAAGTCTCATAGGGTATTCTTCCAAAGAAAAGAGGTGATGGAATACAAAAAAAGAAAAGACATTAAAATGAGAAAGAAAGCGTTTAGGGTGCTAAACACGGACTCGAGAACAAGTGAGGTGACATTGGCTTCTAATGCCAGCAGAGTAAAAGAGCCTGTCAGTGTGCGCGAGTGGTGATCACTGCATATTAAACCTATAGCATGAATGGGTGAACTTGGTGAACTTGATGGCGAAAAAAAAGTCTACCCTCTGAAACTTTCTGTCTCTCTTTCAACCCCCTCCCTATAGCCTAAACGTGTTTAGTCATGTGACAGTTTATTTTGTGTGTATTTGTCTCACAGTCACTGTTTATATCCCATGTGCTTCTCCCCACCTCCAGGGAAGCTGGCGCAGAAAACTGGGGCACAGAAGGCTGCCAAACGCTCGCGTCAACCACTGTCCACACCAAATGCCTGTGCAGCAGGATATCTACCTACGCCGTGTTAGCGCAGCAAGCTAAAGACCCGGTGAGTCACTAATGCATAGCCTGATGTGCTCTGTGGAACTTGGGGGGGGCTAACAAGGCAAATACTACCAGGGGCCAGGTCAGTAAGCTGATGACTAACCGTAGTATGGATTTAGATGACGTCCCTGTCAGTTGGATTTTACTGTAGGCTACAACAGGCTGTTGCGGTTGTAATTTATTGTCTTTATGGAGAGATAATGGACGGATAATGCTGGTGTGACTGGTGAAATATGAACTTTAAGGTGTCTCTCTTTATAACAAGCAAGAAGAAAATGGGTGCAGACTGAGCAGTGCCATCAGTGTTCAACATTGTATAAAAAGCTGACGTGATCAGTTCGTCTTTGCTTGTTTAATCGTATGTTGTTTGGCTGTCACTTTCCATGTTATTTTAGTTTTAAACCTTGCAATGGTCAAGTTGTTCGGCGAGCTGCTTCCATGTGATGGGAGAGAGAAGAGGCATCGGGAGAAAAAAAGAGATTTTATTGAGTCTGCATGTGTGTGATTCTGCCTGCAGCACGTAACCTGCGTTTCTATAAATAGTTCACATAGCTTCCAGTGTGTGTTTGACATGATTAAAGAAGGCTTTTTAGCAGTTCGGGATAATGCCTGTTCTAATTCATTGACCAGTGCTCCTGTGTTGCACTAATGGAGATCCAAAGACCAGACATCTCTTAGTTCACCTTCCTCTCACAGCCACTCTCTTTATCTGACAGATCTTAATTCATTAATTGTAACACCCCACATCATCACCCCATGGATTTCATACTTTCCTTCAACACACATCTAACCCAATTTAATATTTATACCCACTTTCTTGAACCCTTTTTTTCTTCTTAGCCATATTTTTAATTGATTTGTCCTCTTCTTCTTCTCCTCCTTCTTAGCACCCTGCTTTTATCACTTTCTTCACCGTTCTTTTCACCTTGTTAACACTTTCAGTTGTTGTTCTCACTTCATGCAACAGCTCCTTGGCTGTTGTGGTCACAAAATGTTCCCTGTAGCCTTGGCTCTTAGTTCGTCTCCATGTTTGCTTGCACCTAATGCCCATGAGGAGAGTGATTACAGTGAATCATCAGGGAGTGAGAAGAGATGTTGTTGCTAGAATCTATGGGAGTTTTCTTGTGATTTTCTCCCTCTTAATGGTTTGGTTAGAAAATGGAGCCAGCAAAGCAGATCCTTAGTAAGCACTGCAGGGTAACTCCAGGTGTCACAGAAATGGAAAGTGATTGTGAGGAATGGAGGATTATGGGAAGGAAATGTTCAACCAAACAGAAAAGGCAGGCTGGTCTCAGCTGGCAGGCAGAACTAAGAGAGAGAGAAAGAGAGAGTAAGAGAAAGAGAGAGAGAAAGGGAGATAGGGAGATGGAAAGGAGCTGTTGTCTGTGTTAAGTAATAATGCATTAACAACCATTTTCGCTGAGATAAAGAGCTGTGGGCTTATGTGGGCATCTACGTCTGTAACCCTATTAAGGTAAAACTCTGCTCCCATATAGCACTCACTTTTTCTGTACATTAATGTTTTTCAAACGCATCCATTTTAAAAATTTCCTTGGCCTTACATACACTATGCATTATAAATGAAAAAAGACAGCATATAGAGGTGGTACTGCTGCTTGGTTAGCACCGTTACTGTACACTGTTACAGCTTGTTTTTTTTTCCTTTCTTTGGTTTCCTACTACAAAGCCAGGTGGACTGGAGTCTAAGCTGCACATACAGTATATCTTAGTGATGTAGGATGTTGAGAGTTGTGAAGTGAAAGGGAGCTGCTGGTTTCACAAGTAGTTTTTCCTCATTCTCAATTACATTTTTCTTTTTAAAGATGTCCTCAGTGTTCAACAACAGACAAACTTAAGTCTCACCCAGATAATGAACGATCCTATAGGTTTACGTTATGGGCATCAGTTTAAATTATTTCAGCTCTTGCTTTGAGACTTTGTACTTTTCCCTTTATTTAGACTTGATGGATGGCACTAAATACTAGAATAGAATGAGCCTTATGTCGCCATTACTATGGAGAAGTAGCCAGTCTGTCATCACTAATGTTGGAGCTGGAGCAAATTTAAAACGCGTCTTTCTTGCAGTTGGTAACAAAACATGACATCATCAACCCAGAATCAAAGTTCATGAATTTAAGCTGCAGATGGTTATTATCAGTTTAATAAACAGCATTACCCTTTAATTCTGCACACCGTCAACAGTGCACATAACAGAATTTGAAGCTTGGAAATTGAATGTTTCTCACCAAATGCACCATTTTTTATCTATATTAGTTTGTACCCTCTAACAAAACAGACACAATTGTTTCATGCCCGTCCAAGCCATGGAAGTGCCTCAACGGTGAGTCACTTAACATTGTCTAAAGAAAATTAATTGGACTGTCACTTCCAGAACCAAACGCACCAGAGAAAGCTCCTCCAATGTCATAGTCTCGCGATACCACACAATCGGACATCTCCGGCCTACTAATCGTCTGGAGATTTCTAAATGCAAAGTAGTTGCGAGAGCGGCCGCTTACAAATGTACACCCTTACTTCAAGGACACACTTCACTTCCCCCCATTCACCTTTGTAGTGAAATAGAAACTGTAGCTATAGTCACCGCCCTAAAGACTTTGGATTGGTTCTTCAATGCAAAACCAAAAGAAACGACAAAAGCCAGGAAAAAGTTCTCATCTCTGTGGTAATTATTTGTAAAGATATGCTTAGTTTCTTTCAGCATCCTGTCTCTTCAAGTTAATTATGATTGGAAGAACTTGAACAGTCGGTGAGCAAAACACATGCACATCTTTCAATTAATTGGGACAGCAGTAGCTCAGTCTGTAGGGACACTCTTTGGGAACTGGACGGTTGCTGGATCCAGCATGGACCACAGTGTGGAGTGTGGACGACGGGTAGCTGGATTTTGTTTTGGTTTTTTTGTTTTTAATTTGATTTGAGGTGCCAGTTCACCTCCTGGGCGCCGCTATGTGGCAGCCCATCAGTCCACCATCTCTCAACATTTGTATATCCATGATCCCTGTGTGTGTGAGATTGTATTTCGGGCCAATGTGTGTGTGAAAAAATAATTTCCCCATTGGGGATTAATAAAGTTAATCTTCATCGCCAGGTGCTAAGTGAAAAAACCAATAGATTTGATACTTGTTTGATACTTTGTACTCCTAACGCAATAAAGATGAATATTTTTAAAGGGGAGCATACACTTGAATGGTGTCAAATAGATCACAAACACACATATTACTGGGATGTTAAAGGTTACGAAAAAAAGGGATCATACTGGATGGAGTCATCCAAGTGACAGCAGCCTTGAACTTTCACTTTGCATGGATCAAGTCATTTAATCCATCCAAACTTGGTTGCAGCTCACTTGTGTCACCAGTGACACATCTGACAGGGTGACACTGATTTAAATTTTAGATGCTCTGCCTAAAGGCGCTAAACATACTGGACAGCTAGATGAAATAAATCTTCAATATTCAGTTGGCTTGTAAGTCTAAGCCTCTCTGTACCATATTGTAGGAATTATTTTATTCCCTTCTTCTCCTCCCCTAGATGTCACCCTCCTCTTCTTTTGTGTAAAGAGGGTCAAAATAAGGTGATGGCCTTCAGGTGAGAGAACTGCAGTGATTCATTATTGTGTCCCTCAAAGCTTGAATTACTTCACAGGGGTCTAGAACCTATTACAGAACTCGGGGAAACATTAATTCCCATTATTTGAAAACACACACTGGCTGCGACCTATAAGCCGAATGGGTCATTCCAGTCGCTATTTCTGGTTCCTGTGACTCCTCTTCCAACTGCACAATATTGACTTTTCCCTCGCCACAGCAAGCAGGTCGGCCGCGTTGAGTGAAAGAGGACTAGGAGGGACACACATTGACTTTTTTGACATCTGTGAAGAGTGTGTTGATTATCATTCAGTCCCCTACCACCATTATACCCAATGCTGATGACCGGAAGGTATAGGTCGTGTGTCTGTGTTCGTGGCTCTCAGTCAGGCACTGTTGGTGCCAGTCCTGAGTGCACTTTGTTGCTTTAGGGTCCTCCAGAGCTTGCTTTTTATTCCAGCAGAGATTGGATTGTATAAAAAAGGAGTGGAGAGACAGATTGAATTTGGCAGCACATAAAAAGAACCCCAGTCACATCCGGACATGCAAGCACAGACAAGTAGGTATGGATGTTTGCACTTACACACACAGACATGCATGCCCAAAAATGCGCATGTAGACACCCAAACATCACATTCATGTAACTGTGTCCAGACTGTGTGGTTGTTGGAGCAGAGCTGAGTATCAGCAGCCCAGCTCTGACAGCTTATCCTGGGCCACGGCGCTAGGGACAAGGGGGTTGAGGATTAACCTCCATGTTTAATAGAAAAAGGAGGGAGAGAGGGGGAGAGAAAGAGATGGAGGGATTTAGAAGCAGTGCTGCCATTACAGGCCGTTTACAGTGGAGCGAGGGATAGCCAGTTAATCCTGTTTACTTTCTATAGCCTCTGAGATTTCCGTGTGGTGTATGTGTGAGCATCCTGCTGTGTGTGTGTGTGTGTGTGTGTGTGTGTCTACAGAGAGACCTTCACTATCAGGCACAACAGAGGTTGTTACTTTAGAGGAACAGAGGCGAGAGAGGGAGAAAGAGGAGTTGATTGAGTGAGGTCATGAAGCCATACAATAAACCAAGCCACTTAATTCCCCAAATGACTGCGGTGGGAATACAAAAAACCCTACAGATATGTCTGGTCTCATTGCCTCCACAGTCCTCATAGGGATCATGGGATTTGCAGTTGAACGAGGTATTGGCTTTGTAAAATTCAGTTTAACATTTTGTACCTCAAGTTAATCAAGTGAGTTATACCTCTTCGCTTCAGTTTTGTCAGCGTATGAGGCTGCTGTCGTAGTCGTGTTGAACTGGAAATTGATTACAGTTCTCAAGTGCCTCTGTCTGTGTTGTGTTCATAGCTACAGTTGGATTCATGGGTAAGCAGGTGATCAGTAATGCAAGTGA